TGAATAATTCAATGAATGTAGAAGACAACAATACAAGCAGACACTAACCAGGATCTAAATCCATAATCTTTTTGAATTGTGTCAACTCATATTCGGCCGAATACGCTTCGATTTCGGATCGATTCTGTTTAATTGTGAAGTTGGCGATATCAATTTTCGTTTGGTCTAACAATTCACAAGTACCTCTGAAATATTCAACGTTTTGAAAAATCACTTTTATGCTGAAAGCATCGATCCTTGATAAAACATACTGCCACATGCAGTTTCAAAACTCCAGCATCGTAAATATACGATAGCTTTTTGTTTTTGCATTGGACAAATCTAAACAATGAGAAATTATCGTACTGTAAAAAGTACGCCACCTCAAAATATCCACAATGTTTTCAGCTTCACGAATCTTTTTCAACTGTTCGTCTCGAACCGGTGCGCACAGTCGAGACATTAACTCGACCAGATACGTCGTGACGCGATCCACCTCAAAACAGCCATTGTCGATCTGTTGTTTCAGCAACTTTTCGTCTAAATTCGACTCGACCTCATCTCGCAAACGAACGCGATCCTCCGGAATTACTTCGAATATCATCTGAAATTTGAAATGAATTTCGTTGAATTACTGAATACCGACTGAAAAAAAAGGATAGAAGTTTTCAATTGCTGAGAAGAAATCAAAAAGAGAATGTTGTGAAATTTCTTCAGTGCCCTCAGAAAGTGAATGAATACATTTTTCCCGAAGTATTATAATTTCCAATTGCAAACAAGCGATTGATCAAACTCCCTCATACAAGGCGATTCATTTCTAGAATATGATTGCCTACTGTAATATATCCCTCTCCACACACATTACCATCAACACGCATTATCACAATGTTGAGTAGCTTATTTTATTTCACAACTTATTATTTTAGGACTTCCACCTATTTTCTGCCTTAATGAATTTTAAATACATCTGATCAAAAATCCAGCTGACCCAGTTTTTTTTAATACTAAATTTTAACTGCTCTAAATTAGCATCAACATAATCAGTAACTCGCAAGTTTTCTCAAAATTATGTAACTATTGTTACATAATTTTGACCAAAGTTTTGAATTGCTCAGAAGAGAATACACAGCAAAAGATGGAATCGACGAGACACCTTTTTAATATCCATTAGCACTTGAAACGCAGAAGTATATTCGGGTGGATCCTCGCGTAAATCATCACGGATTTTATCCCAGAAAGCACGATGAACACATTCTTTGACGGCTTTTTCGATTGGATTCGTTGGCGATGAGGGCAATTCGAAATTTGAATTCAACGAGATCTCATGCACCAACGCCAGATTTTCGAATGCTGACGACACATTCATCAGATTTTCACGATCGATGAATTTGGCTGGTGAACTGCCTAAAAGCTTGTGGTTTCCTTAAACTACTAATCAGCTGAAGCTGAATATCACCCATCAAAAATCCAGGGAATCTCATACGAACCTGCAACCCATAAAGGAAACTGATCCGCGGATTCTGCATCAGACCTTCGAGCGATCGG